CGCGCCTCCAACCGCTGGGCTCCTTATTCACTGCTAGGGCTCGTTCCCTGGCAGTTTTCCCCTCTTTAGGAGCAGGGCACCTCAGTGCTCTCTGACATCTGGGTAACCTGTTTGTGTTTTACTACCCTCTTAGTAAAAATTTTTTTCCTGATGCCTAACCTAAACTTGCCTTGCTGCAACTTGAGACCATTACTCCTTGTTCTGTCATCTGTCACCACTGAGAACAGTTTTCTTTTGAACCCTCCTTCAGGTAGTTTGAAGGCTGCTATTAAATCCCCTCTGTCTTCTCTTCTCTAGACTAAAGAAGCCCAGTTCCCTCCAACTCTCCTCATAAGTCATGTGCCTCGGCCCCCTCACCATTTTTGTTGCCCTCCTCCAGAGCTGACACAAGCAGGGTGTGGGGCCCAGGGCAAATCGGCCCATGCAGGGCCCCAACCCTGCTCCGATCCCACAACCCCCTACGCTGAAGAAGCTGCTGCGGCAGGGGTGGGAGGTAGCGAACGGCTGGACACGGAGCCATCGCTCCACCCAGCTCTGCACCACCGCTGCTCCTCCCAGATCCGCAGGGCTTCCCAAAGTGCAGGACCCCCCCTTGGGATGTCCCTGCCCTCCGCTGGACTCTCTTCAATTTGTCCACATCCTTTCTGTAGCAGGGGCCAAAAACTGGACACAGTACTTCAGATGTGGTCTCACCAGTGCTGAATAAGGGGGAATAATCACTTCCCTTGATTTGCTGGCAACATACCTACCAATGCAGCCCAGTATCCTGTTAGCCTCTTGGCAATAAGGGCACAGTGTTGGCTCATATTCAGCTTATTGTCCACTATAACCCCCAGGCCCTTTTCTGCAGAGCTGCTGCCCACCCAGTTAGCCCCCTGTCCTAAGTGCATGGGAACAAATCCCCCAGTGCATGGGATTTGTTCTGTCCTAACTGCAGAACATTGCACTTGTCCTTGTTGAACCACATGAGATTCCCTTTGGCCCAGTCCTCAAACTTGTCTAAGTCTCTCTGAATCCTAGCTCTACCCTCTAGCATATCTACTACTCTTCCCCAGTGTGGTGCCATCTTCCAGGTCATTGATAAAGATATTGAACAAAACTGGCCTCAGGACCAACTCCTGGGGCACTCTACTTGATACCATCTGCCAACTAGACATCGAGCCATTGATTACTACCCTCTGAGCCCAATGCTTCAGCCAGTTTTCTATCCACCTTACAGTCCATTCATCC